GAACTTTTTTACATCCTTTAGAGTCATGTCGGAAATTCAATTTACAATAATAGTTTTATGCCTATTACTCCACTCCCCCTATATCGGGCACATGATTGTAGCGGCCGGTAGGCGGGCACATCTACAGGGAGGTGATTGTTTGGCAACGTAAAACACGTAAAATCCAACGAAATTCGATGAAAAGAAGATAAATTGATATTTATGAAACTCAATTGTATATTAGAAGCTCTATTTTATACTTAACATGACGGATATTCAATACACAACATTAGTTGAATGCCTCACTACATTTCCCCTATATCTCAGGCACATGTAGCGGTATAGGCGGGCACATCTACAGGGAGGTGATGTATTGACAACGTAAAACACGTAAAATCCAACGAAAATCAATGATAAGAAGATAAATTGCTATCATGAAACTCAATTGTATCTTAGGAAGCTTTATTATATCCATGACATGTCGGAAATTCAATATACAACACTAAGTTGTATGCCTTACTACATAATTATATCGGGCACATGTAGCGGTAGGCGGGCACATCTACAGGGAGGTGATGTATTGACAACGTAAAACACGTATAGGCCTACCTCAAAGAAAATCAATGCAAAGAAGATAAATTGCTATCATGAAACTCATTTGTATCTTAGGAAGCTTTATTATATCCATGACATGTCGGAAATTCAATATACAACACTAAGTTGTATGCCTTACTACATAATTATATCGGGCACATGTAGCGGTAGGCGGGCACATCTACAGGGAGGTGATGTATTGACAACGTTTAACACGTATAGGCCTACCTCAAAGAAAATCAATGCAAAGATGTTGAATTGATAGTTGTAAACGTATAAGGGAGCTTTAATGTTACATCCGGTATCTCTCGGATATTGAATATAGAATACTATTTTATGACACTAACTCGATCCCCATCTCGATCGGGCACATGTAGAGGTAGGCGGGCACATCTACAGGGAGGTGCATGTTTTGACTACGTAAAACACGTGTAATCCAAAGAAAATTAATGTTAAGAAGTTGAATTGATATTTGAAACTCATTTATATCTTGGGAAGCTTTATTATAATCCATGAAATGTCGGAAATTCAATATACAACACTAAGTTGTATGCCTTACATATCCCCTATCTCGGGCACATGTAGCGGTAGGCGGGCACATCTACAGGGAGGTGATGTATATTGACAGCGTTAAACACGTATACCTCAAAGAAAAGAAAATCAATGCACAGATGTTGAATTGATAGTTGTAAACTCATATATAAGGGAGCTTTAATGTTAAATCCGTTATCTCTCGGATATTGAATATAGAATACTATTTTATTACACTAACTCGATCCCTATCTCGATCGGGAACATGTAGAGGTAGGCGGGCACATCTACAGGGAGGTGCATGTTTTGACCACTTAAAACACGTGTAATCCAGAGAAAATTAATGTTAAGAAGATGAATTGATATATGTGAAACTCATTTGTATCTTAGGAAGCTTTATTATATCCATGACATGTCGTAAATTCAATATACAACACTAAGTTGTATGCCGTACTACATATCCCCTATTTTGGGCACATGTAGCGGTATAGGCGGGCACATCTACAGGGAGGTGATGTATTGACAGCGTTAAACACATATAGCTCAAAGAAAATCAATGCAAAGATGTTGAATTGATGTAACGTCATTTGTATAATTATAAGGGAACTTTTTTACATCCTTTACAGTCATGTCGGAAATTAAATTTACAATAATAGTTGTATGCCTATTACTATACCTACTCCCCCTATATCGGGCACATGATTGTAGCGGCCGGTAGGCGGGCACATCTACAGGGAGGTGATTGTTTGGCAACGTAAAACACGTAAAATCCAACGAAAATCGATGAAAAGAAGATAATATTGATATTTATGAAACTCATTTGTATCTTAGGAAGCTTTATTATATCCATGACATGTCGGAAATTCAATATACAACACTAAGTTTTTATGTCTTACTACATAATTATATCGGGCACATGTAGGCCTAGCGGTAGGCGGGCACATATACCGGGAGGTGATGTATTGACAACGTTTAGGCCTACCTCAAAGAAAATCAATGCAAAGTCAGATGTTGAATTGATAGTTGTAAACTCATATATAAGGGAGCTTTAATGTTACATCCGTTATCTCTCGGATATTGAATATAGAATACTATTTTATTACAAAGCTAACTCGATCCCTATCTCGATCGGGCACATGTAGAGGTAGGCGGGCACATCTACAGGGAGGTGCATGTTTTGACCACTTAAAACACGTGTAATCCAGAGAAAATTAATGTTAAGAAGTTGAATTGATTATGTGAAACTCATTTGTATCTTAGGAAGCTTTATTATAATCCATGAAATGTCGGAAATTCAATATACAACACTAAGTTGTATGCCTTACTACATATCCCCTATCTCGGGCACATGTAGCGGTATAGGCGGGCACATCTACAGGGAGGTGATGTATTGACAGCGTTAAACACATATAGCTCAAAGAAAATCAATGCAAAGATGTTGAATTGATGTAACGTCATTTGTATAATTATAAGGGAACTTTTTTACATCCTTTACAGTCATGTCGGAAATTAAATTTACAATAATAGTTGTATGCCTATTACTATACCTACTCCCCCTATATCGGGCACATGATTGTAGCGGCCGGTAGGCGGGCACATCTACAGGGAGGTGATTGTTTGGCAACGTAAAACACGTAAAATCCAACGAAAATCGATGAAAAGAAGATAAATTGATATTTATGAAACTCATTTGTATCTTAGGAAGCTTTATTATATCCATGACATGTCGGAAATTCAATATACAACACTAAGTTTTTATGTCTTACTACATAATTATATCGGGCACATGTAGGCCTAGCGGTAGGCGGGCACATCTATACCGGGAGGTGATGTATTGACAACGTTTAGGCCTACCTCAAAGAAAATCAATGCAAAGTCAGATGTTGAATTGATAGTTGTAAACTCATATATAAGGGAGCTTTAATGTTACATCCGTTATCTCTCGGATATTGAATATAGAATACTATTTTATTACAAAGCTAACTCGATCCCTATCTCGATCGGGCACATGTAGAGGTAGGCGGGCACATCTACAGGGAGGTGCATGTTTTGACCACTTAAAACACGTGTAATCCAGAGAAAATTAATGTTAAGAAGTTGAATTGATTATGTGAAACTCATTTGTATCTTAGGAAGCTTTATTATAATCCATGAAATGTCGGAAATTCAATATACAACACTAAGTTGTATGCCTTACTACATATCCCCTATCTCGGGCACATGTAGCGGTAGGCGGGCACATCTACAGGGAGGTGATGTATATTGACAGCGTTTAGCACGTATACCTCAAAGAAAATCAATGCAAAGATGTTGAATTGATAGTTGTAAACTCATATATAAGGGAGCTTTAATGTTAAATCCGTTATCTCTCGGATATTGAATATACAATACTATTTTATTACATAACTCGATCCCTATCTCGATCGGGCACATGTAGAGGTAGGCGGGCACATCTACAGGGAGGTGCATGTTTTGACCACTTAAAACACGTGTAATCCAGAGAAAATTAATGTTAAGAAGTTGAATTGATTATGTGAAACTCATTTGTATCTTAGGAAGCTTTATTATAATCCATGAAATGTCGGAAATTCAATATACAACACTAAGTTGTATGCCTTACTACAGTCATATCCCCTATCTCGGGCACATGTAGCGGTAGGCGGGCACATCTACAGGGAGGTGATGTATATTGACAGCGTTTAGCACGTATACCTCAAAGAAAATCAATGCAAAGATGTTGAATTGATAGTTGTAAACTCATATATAAGGGAGCTTTAATGTTAAATCCGTTATCTCTCGGATATTGAATATACAATACTATTTTATTACATAACTCGATCCCTATCTCGATCGGGCACATGTAGAGGTAGGCGGGCACATCTACAGGGAGGTGCATGTTTTGACCACTTAAAACACGTGTAATCCAGAGAAAATTAATGTTAAGAAGTTGAATTGATTATGTGAAACTCATTTGTATCTTAGGAAGCTTTATTATAATCCATGAAATGTCGGAAATTCAATATACAACACTAAGTTGTATGCCTTACTACATATCCCCTATCTCGGGCACATGTAGCGGTAGGCGGGCACATCTACAGGGAGGTGATGTATATTGACAGCGTTTAACACGTATACCTCAAAGAAAATCAATGCAAAGATGTTGAATTGATAGTTGTAAACTCATATATAAGGGAGCTTTAATGTTAAATCCGTTATCTCTCGGATATTGAATATAGAATACTATTTTATTACACTAACTCGATCCCTATCTCGAGTAGAGGTAGGCGGGCACATCTACAGGGAGGTGCACGTTTTGACCACGTAAGACACGTGTAATCCAGAGAAAATTAATGTTAAGAAGTTGAATTGATACATGTGAAACTCATTTGTATTTTAGACTTTTTTAGCAAGCTTTATAACATCCTTTACATATCTAGAATAGTCGATATATATACGACATGACACTAGCTGTACTCGTTTATTACCCTCCCTTCTCCTCGGGCACATGTAGAGGTAAAGCTGGCACACCTGCAGGGAGGTAGTTTAGCCGACGATCGAGTTGGCCACGTGTTCTTTGGAGTTAAAAAACGACCAAAAGAATCGCCAATTTTGCTTAAATTTGGTATCAAAATCCACACTAAATAAATATACTTAACACTCAAACACTTCTACCTCATAACCACGGACAATCCAACTGTATAATGGTAAGATTTTGCCCCTGATTTGACGGAGCTAGCCACTGTGTTGCACGAATTAGTTTCATTGTACATGACCCCAATTCCGCACGTACGTACGTACGCGCGCAGTCAAGAACATCAATATTCATGAATTGACACGACGTCACTCATATGCATATTCATTGACCTCCTTGTAGATGTGCCCGATTAGAGGCTACCTTTGAGCATAGCGTGTTGCTCAACTGTATGACGAGATGGCTCCTGTAAAACTGAAGAACATTGTTTCATTCAGCTCTCAAGTAAGCAAGCTGTAATTTAAATCTTAAAGAATCTAGGAATTGCTTTGCATCATCTAAAATTTTGACAAGAATTGAAGTTATGTATCTATAAACATGTCATAATATATTTAGGAGTTCTCACTCGATCGTGCAGACACTGTACTAGTAGTCCCACTTACTTAGTTTGATGTGAAATATGTGCTAGTCACTATACAGTCCATAGACGAGACCCCTCTCCGACTTACTCAGTTAGATCTAGAATCTAGATGACTAGATCTAGTTCACTGACTGACTTAGTCTAAGAAGTTAGAGTCAATACTGAGCAGTGAGTATACCGGTAGTCGACACGATCGAAGTGAGAATAGTCGGACAAACTGTGTCTGTGACTGTGTAGTGTCATGAATCGTGTGTTTTGTTGTGTTTACATGAAGTTTTGAGTTGACTGCATGATCTGACTCTGAGGCATAAGCAGATGAGACATGATGAGTGGATGAATATTAGACCTCTAGACTAATTGTAATTTATATTTATAATAATGTTGGAGTTTCAGATTGACTAAACATATGTGAGGGAATGAGAAATAGCCCTTTCTTTATAATGCAAATTAGTCAGGGACAAAAGGAATGTACCTATGAGGAGTGATATGCCCCAGTGAACATACACTCACTGTATGCAGGTTAAAAGCTCATACATGCAGTGAGCAGAGATGGGACTGGCTGTAGCTGTGCCTACATGAAGCTGTAATTGATGTCTCATCCTGATATTCTTGATGTATATAGTTGATTTTGGACACCTTAATATGTGAGTACAGTATATTATTAACTCTCTAATGTTAAGATTGCTGAGGTGCTTGATTGGATAGATTATGATTTGTGTGAAGAAGAGGGAGATTTAACTTTAATTTACATGAAGGATGCATGCTGATAGTAATTGAGTTATGCCTATTAATGCTAGAAAAGCGTGGTAGGACATTGCTTTTTGGTAAGCCTTGTATTGTGATTAGTTGGAGTATGTTTCTATATTGCTTAAGGCTGATAGAATAATTATGGTAGCTCACTCATTTGGAGAATTGTGTTATATATATGTGAAAGTAATAAATAGGGAGTGGCCTTCATTGCAGATCTATTTACTACATGAATTTCATAGGCTGAGGTAAACTCAATATATATACAATATACATGTATGAACTAAAATGCATACACTGTATAATATGGAAGATGATCTGGAAAGCAGATGTAGCAAGTAATTATTTGTGATCATAATGATGCAATACTTACTGTAGTTTTTGTGTCTTTTAATTTTCTACAGCAACTGAAGTGACTTCATGCAGTCAAGGGTCTTCTACCCTCTTTTGTTTGATTTGATTATCATGAAATACAGATTGGCCTATCATACCCAATAGAACCGCAACTACTGCTTCGTCTCATTTATGACTTTGAGTCGATACCCTCACACATAGAACTAGTCTATACAAGTTAACAATAATTAACATGCCATCTACTCTCATTTAAATGAACATGATGAACCAACATTAAATTTATGCCAGCATGGCCAGGGCAATTGACAAGCTTGGTCTAAAATTAAGAAATAACAAAGGTTTTGCATGTGTGGCAAGTTTCGTGACAAACATGTGTGTCAAAAGTTAGTCAGTGACTATCATCAAGTATCGTGGAATTTAATCTTTACCGCCTAACTGTTTTGTTTATATGGTCTATAAATATAGTCTATGCCAATCTGATCAGTGATTCATGACTCTTGGACTTGCAGACTTTTTGCTTGTCAATTCTTCTTAATTACTGGACAAGGCAACTGCTTAATTATGGCATACAACTTTGTCTTTAGTTTAATTTCAAAACATGAAGATAAACAAAGTCACTCATTCCTAATGATCACAGATTAGCATCACCATTAACATTGTTATCAAATCATCATCACCACCATCATCAAAATCATCATCACCATCACCATTTTCATTGTCATCATCACCATCATCATTACTACCATCATGATGATCACCATCTATCATCATCATACATCATCATCACCATTTTCATCTCCATCATCATCACCATTTTCATCTCCATCATTAACATCGTCATAACCACCATCACTAAATACCTTTGATCATAAATATTCATAATCATTACCATAATTACCATAATCATCATCATCCTCATTACCATCATTGTCATCATGCTCTTTATTACATCCAATTTCCACAGCATTACCACCATCCATTTTAATACCATTTTAATACTTTTTAATACTCCCTAGGCCTATACCTTTTGAATGGAATTTGTATTGCATTTTATCACAATTTTTCCAATGTTACAGTTAATTGAATTCATGTTTCTGTATACATTTTATTTGTTTTGATGTAAACATTTATTCATTTTTGCTAGCAATATTTCATATCTTGTATTCTTTAATATTTTTTTTTACTACTTTAATGTTTTGATGTAAACATTTATTTATTGTTAAATATTTGTTCTCATTTGCTATGATATCTTTATATATATATGTACATATGTTTTTGAATTCTTTTTATATGATTGTATGTTTGATGTGAACTTGCATTTTTAGTCTTTGGACTTTTTGACAAGTCTTGAATAAAACGTCATTTGAACTTTGAACTTGAATCCCAATGAAAATTGAAAAACTGGGAAAAGAAATTATTGAGAGATGGAAGATCAAAAAAGATCATGGAGATGACAGGTTACGTTTAGTTGTACATTGTACAAACTAGATGTTCATGGCCAGGTTGTCGAGTTGTTTCCCTGGAGAGAGAAGGAGATGACAGATTAAGTCCCAAAGATGTTTTTTAAAGAATTTTACTGCTTTTTTTTCTCCCATTCATTTGAAGAACAATAATTTAAGATTATAGTATCTGAAAAGTGAACATATAACAAGAATCTATAAGCAAGCTTTCTAAATTCTAGATAAAAAACAAATACTTTTGTTTAAATTTTTGAAATATTTCTAGGTCATGCTAATTTGAGTAGTTCAGGATTCATCTCATGTGGTTACTGCTATAAATCCTAATCTTTAAGAAGAAATTGTATTAAACATTAACAATATTTAATTGTCTTGTTTCATGTTTAGGATGCAGACCATTGTGCAAGAAACCTGCTTGAAACCAACCAATGGAGACGATGGCTGTGTGCTCCCGGTGACCGCTCTGGATCAGTTCAAGTTGAGTTTCAGTTGGAGAGAGCTGTTAAGATTGGATTCATAGACATAGGTTAGAATATATTTTGAATTCATAATAATAATAATTATAATACTCAGTTTTTATATAGCGCTTATTAGAATCACTAAGCGCTTCCAAACTTGGAGATTATTACCCCGGCTTTAGCTGTGCTGCCATTACGGCGCCCTAGCATTTCAAAGAATTAATTCCTGCCAGGTACCCATTTACATCACCTGGCTTGAGTTTGGCAAATGTTGATCAATGTCTTGCCAAAGGACATGTTGGATGTCTGGTCTTGGGTCTGAGATATATTGTTTAGTGAATATAGTTTATTAAAATAAAATCTTTTCATCTTGGCCCTGGAACATACGGTCTGGTGTACATGCATCTCTGATGTACATGCCTCATTATTTTGCATGTTTATGTGTACAGCTTCTTCAATTAGTCAGTTTTGTATAGTTTACCATTTTGAGGCATGAATTGTTTTTTTTTTGAATTCCTGAAAGTTATATGTATGCTAGACATCAAAGTGTTTTATTTAATGTTTCGTGTCTCTTCAATTTTCAGTGTAATATTACAATAGCCAGTAAATGTTAATACAATCATTTAAAATAATGAACAATATCTTCTTCTTTGTGTGTGATATACAGTATGATTGTCTCCTCATTCATATTGTTCACACAGTTTTGGTTATTCAGAGACAAATTGTGTGGGAACTTGTTCCTTAGCGATGTGAAAGGCTTTTTATGCTGGGAATAAAAAAAATAATGATACATATGATAATAATAAAAGTAGTTTGTTGTACAATACTCATGTTTGTTCGCTCCTTTCGCAAAGCTTCTGCTGAACTTTGGAACAAATTACCTTTAAATGTAAAAAACTGTCAAACCGTTAACCTATTCAAAACTAGTCTCAAGACACATTTATTCAAAATTGCGTTCGATGATTAATTATCTCTGTTCACTTTGATGTGTATTCCATATGTATTGTTATTTGTAGGTTTATTTGCATTTTTAGTTTTGTATAAGATGTAATTGTATATCAGTCTATTTTGTGTGTATAGCGCTTAGAGACTTCGGTGGTAAGCGCTTTATAAGTAACGTTTTTATTATTTTATTATTATTATTATTTGTCAAACTTGACACTACAGAAGTGGCTGCTATAAACAGGTAATCTTAATCCCTCCAAAACGGTTTGACATGATTGCACTTAAAAGTGCAAATCAAATATATTTAGTTTTGCCTTGATTCAGATTTAGACAAAAAGTATATTCTGGTCATCCCACCACCTATCTCTATTGTTCTAAAACTACAGGGAACTATGGTTCTGCATTGATTGAGATTCTAGTGCGTCGTTCCTCAGCATCCGATGATCAGTTTAAGACTCTGGTACCAACCACAAGCTGTATGACACCCATGGATAGCAAGCAAGGCAAAAACAAGACCGGAGTTAAGATGTTCTCTAGAGGTAAGATGTACTAGGAATGCCAAGACCATTGAACATACTAGAACAATGGAGCATGCTCACAAGGTTCTCCCCATTAGTTCAGTTTATTGCAGCATATTTTCTACATTCAACTAAAATCACAAAAAATAGGGATTAGGTATATAAATGCTTCTTTAAAAATAGTCAAAAAGGACTATACAAGGTTTGTGAGGTAGCATTTTACTGAAGACACAGGAATGGCACAGGAAACACACATGAATGACACAGTCCCAGTCGAATCTAATGCTCAAAAGATGTAAATAGCAACAATCCTCTACTCTACCTAAGTGAGCCATAATTTTTAATTGATTTTCCGGTCTTTGTCTTTTGGGGACAAACAAAGTCTGTCACATGTAAAGAGAAGACTTTAAAGTCATGGTAATGATTCCTATTATAAGCTTGCGTTGTTTTGTTTGTGTTCACAGATCAGCTTTGTGAGGATGCTCGAGAGGAGTATTGGGATAGAATCAAGGTGGTTTGTAGACAGCCTTTCAAGAAAGATACTCAGTTTGGTCTCGCTTTCATCAAGATCAGTTCGATGGAGCAGAAGGAGACGGGTGGTGAAGATAGACAGACTGATAACATGCATACGGTAAGTCAGCTGTCTATGGTTTCTGTGGGTTTCAGTGTCATATTTTTCATATGCAAACCCAACAGACTATTTAGATTTTCATATGCTCCGATGAGAATCATGATATTTTTTTAAATTTCATTAAAAAAAAATATTAAAAAAAATATGAAAATATATGTATATAGTCAGTGTTCAAGCTATTTCAAGCATAATGGATGAATATCTTCTACATGATACCCTTGAACAATGGAAACATCATCTGCAAACTCATGCTCTATCGATTTCTTCATTTAGTGTGTAGTATATCCAGAAATTGGAATCCCTTCAAATCTTTGTATCATTAAAGGTTCTATGTCCCTTTTGCAGCCAACCTCAAATTCTGTAGAACTTTTCAGGAATTATGAATATGTCATGTATGTCTTATCTGTAAAATTTAAACGTTAGCAGTGTCCTAATATTCAAATTATGCAAAGAAACCCGTTTACTTGCTAGACTTCATTGTCAGACACTTGAGTGACTGACTGGCTTGTTTTCTTCTTTGGTAATAACATACATAAAATGAGCTGTAAAGGGTACATGAGCATTTGTCTACATCAATAACCCACTTCTTGTGATGGCCAAAATTAAACTGATTGAATCTTTGCGCAGCATAAAACGTATGACCCTACGGTACAATGGTCTGAAAATCAAGACTATTACTTATTGGCTCTATAGCTCCTAAGTTGATTTGACAACTAATAGTCGTTATTTTCCCACTGGAAGACATTTTCAAGCCCCACCTTTTTTAGGGAAGTTCTAAATAAGTATTAACTTTCAAATGCCGTTAAAATTTAACCTTTTCATTTTTTTGGCCTGCAAATGGGACATAGTACATTTATGTGACCAAGAATTGTTATATGGGTGCTACAGTGTAAAATGCTTTGTTATCATCTTAACCGTTTTTTTTCTCACATCTTTGATAAAGGAGATAAAGCAGCCGGTCCAGAAGCCTAAGCCTGTCCAGAAACCACAAGATAGACCCTCAATCCTATCACCGTCATGGAAGTCAAATGCAGCTTTCCAGAAAACGTTTAATAATATCAATCAAGGAGAGTAAGTAGACATTTTTATGCCTCCGTTACGAAGTAGCGGGAGGCATTATGTTTTCGGGTTGTCCGTCTGTCCGTCCGTCTGTACGTACGTACGTCTGTATGTACGTACGTACGTACGTCCCGTTCTCGTGATCGCGTTATCTGAAGAACCGATTGATGGATTCCTGCCAAACTTTGGTCATGTATGTATCTTGCAGAGCCGATGAACTGATTAGATTTTGGGGTTACGAGGTCAAAGGTCAAAGGTCACAGGGCTCATTATGTATGCAAAAACAGCTCGTAATCGCGTTATCTGAAGAACCGATTGATGGATTCCTGCCAAACTTTGGTCATGTATGTATCTTGCAGAGTCAAAGAACTGATTAGATTTTGGGGTCATGAGGTTAAAGGTCAAAGGTCACAGGGCTCATTATGTATGCAAAAACAGCTCGTGATCGCGTTATCTCAAGAATCGAGCGATGGATTGCTGCCAAACTTAGGTCATGTATGTTACTTGCAGAACCGATGAAGTGATTAGATTTTGGGGTCACGAGGTCAAAGGTCAAAGGCCACAGCGCACATTATGTATGCAAAAACAGCTCGTGATTGCGTTATCTCAAGAACCGATTGATCGATTGCTGCTAAACTTAGGTCATGTATGTTACTTGCAGAACCTATGAACTGATTAGATTTTGGGGTCACGAGGTCAAAGGTCAAAGGCCACAACGCACATTATGTATGCAAAAACAGCTTGTGATCGCGTTCTCAAGAATCGATTGATGGATTCCTGCCAAAATTAGGTCATGTATGTTACTTGCAGAGCCAATGAACTGAGTAGATTCTTGGTTCATAAGGTCAAAGGTCATGGGCTCATTATGTATGCAGAAATAGCTTGTGAACACATTCTCATTAGAACTGACAGATGGATTACTATTTAACTCAGGACATCTTGCAGAGCCAATGAACTGAGTAGATTTTAGGGTCATGAGGTCAAAGATCAAAGGGTCATATATGTATATGAGAAATTGCTTGTAATCACGATATTCTGAGAACCTGTTAATGGATTACAATTGAACTTGAATTCGAAAAATGTGTTCTGTTTTGGTTTGTAAAATTGCTCTATGACGGAGGCATCATTTTCGACTGCGCGCAGTCGAATTCCATCTAGTTCTTTTCTTTTTCAACTTGCAGTGGTTTATATGATTGTGGATATTTATGTTGTATTTACCATATTTATGTACATGTACCATACAATTGAATATTATTGGTTCATAATATTGATAATTCATTTCATAGTGTTATCTTGAAGTATCATATTGTTGAAGGAAAATGGATTCCTAGTTGCTAGGAAATATGAATGCAGTACTAGTACCTGGTACTTTCCAAACACCTCAAACGGCAACCTGAACAAATCAGACATAATGTTTAGGCATATCCAATCCAATCCATCCAATCCAAAAGATATTTGATAAAGCACCTTTTCCTTGCAGCGCTACACATGCTCCACAATGTTTGGGCCATTTAAAAACAAAAGTTAGAGACTTCTCAGCTAGAGATCAGTAAAGTATATGTAGGCTGGTGATAAAGTAATTTCTAGCAGAATAGATGTGACTTGAGTAGTTTCTTGAACTGGTCAACAGATGAGGCCGTCTGCACAGCAGTAGGTAGCTGGTTCCACAGTTTTGCAGCAACCGATGGGAAAAGCACGTTCTTTAGAGAGACACCGAGTGAGCCAGATGGATGATGATGAGCGGGTATTTCGGACTTGAGGAGTCAGCTATGTACGGGGGACAAGGGTGGTTGAGAGACTTGTAGACCAGTAGTAGAATCTTAAAAGCTATTCTCTGTTGTACAGGCAGCCAATGGAGTTGAAGAGGTTGTATCTGAGCTCATAGACATGGGGATGCAGTCATACACCAGTTTGACTGAAACTTGTGACTAATCTACTCCAATGGCCTTCCCCTGTTTCACACAAAGAAAATGATTGTGATCAATAGGACATTAGTTGTTCATCTTTTTGTTCCTTCAATTGCTAATGCATTCCTTATATGATTGATATCTAGGAGTACTGCAACATCAGACCTGAAGGACAGACTGGTCAGGATAGAGTCTACATCAGAGTCTAAGTCTCAGAGTGGACATTCCTTGGGCAGAGCTGCTCAGCTGATCCTAGCTGCATCAGGAAAGAGATCAGCGCCCTCTTCTCCCTCTCAGACCGCACCAATCAACAAAGAGAACCCATCAGCATCATCACCATTAGCAACCACCCCAACAGCATCATCATCATCATCATCATCCACGTCGATCAAGAGAGGAAGAGGAAAGAACAAGATATCTGTTTTAGAGCAGCCGCCTGATGATGCAGTGGTTCTTCTTGAGGAACAGGTCAAGGAATTTTTGGCCCACATTGGCCCAGCGTTAAAAGATGCTACTCTCACAGGTACATGACAGTGTTTTCCCCTTGCTGTTTTAACTTGTTGTATTCTCATAAGTTGAGCCCGGGCTAAGTCCAGACTAAACAAGAATTTTAGTTCACACTTCTATGGAATGCTAGGTGTCATCTTCCTCCTTCAATATTCATGACAAAAATAACCTACAAAGACTGTTGAAATTCAGTTCATACTCATATTATCTTTTTCTTCCCATTACATTGCAGAATGATTTTTATGCCTCCGTTACGAAGTAGCCGGAGGCATTATGTTTTCGGGTTGTCCGTCCGTCCGTCCGTCCGTCCGTCCGTCCGTCCGTACGTCTGTACGTACGTCTGTACGTTCGTCCCGTTCTCGTGATCACGTTATCTGAAGAACGGATCGATGGATTCCTACCAAACTTTGGTCATATATGTATCTAGCAAAGTCGATGAACTGATTAGATTTTGGGGTCACGAGGTCAAAGGTCAAAGGTCACAGGGCTCATTATGTATGCAAAAACAGCTCGTGATCGCGTTATCTGAAGAACCGATTGATAGATTCCTGCCAAACTTTGGTCATGTATGTATCTTGTAGAGTCGATGAACTGATTAGATTTTGGGGTCACGAGGTCAAAGGTCAAAGGTCACAGGGCTCATTATGTATGCAAAACGGCTCGTGATCGCGTTATCTGAAGAACCGATAGATGGATTCCTGCCAAACTTTGGTCATGTATGTATCTTGCAGAGCCAATGAACTGATTAGATTTTGGGGTCACGAGGTCAAAGGTCACAGGGCTCATTATGTATGCAAAAACAGCTTGTGATCGCGTTATCTCAAGAACCGATTGATGGATTCCTGCCAAACTTAGGTCATGTATGTTACTTGCAGAGCCGATGAACTTATTAGATTTTGGGTAACGAGGTCAAAGGTCAAAGGTCACAGCGCCCATTATGTATGCAAAAACAGCTTGTGATCGCGTTATCATTAGAACAGATTGATGGATTCCTGCCAAACTTAGATCATTTATGTATCTTGCAGAGCCAATGAACTGTGTAGATTCTTGGTTCATAAGGTCCAAGGTCATGGGCTCATTATGTATGCAAAAATAGCTTGTGAACGCATTCTCATTAGAACTGACAGATGGATTACTATTTAACTCTGGCTATCTTGCAGAGCCAATGAGCTGAGTAGATATTAGGATCATGAGGTCAAAGTTCAAAGGGTCATATATGTATATGAGAAATTGTTTGTAATCACGATATTCTGAGAACCTGTTAATGGATTACAATTGAACTTGAATTTGAAAAATTTCTTCTGTTTTGGTTTGTAAAATTGCTCTATGACGGAGGCATCATTTTCGACTGCGCGCAGTCGAATTCCATCTAGTTTTTGACACTTTTCATTGCAGGATTAAAATAATCTGTACAGGGTAAATGAGTTGGCAACAGGCACTCCATAAAAGTGTGGACTAAGTTAAGCCAGGCTTAACTTAGTATGCGCTATCAGAATACCAGCCATTATCTTTAACTTCCAATATGGCCTTGGTAGTGGTACTAATCATATACAATTAAATCTGCCTAAATTGTAGATGTATAATGCAATAGATCTAAAAAATGTGTAAAGTCTGTGAGGTACATGTAATAATGGGCACATAAACAGTCATCTGAATCTTATGCACATGTAATGCAGCATGTTACCATAGTTTAGATAGTTTAGGCACATATTATATATAAATCTTCAAATGTCTGTGTATTTAAAGTTTTAAACACATATTTTCAAGTATGATACAATATTGAATTCCTCAAAATTACTCATCCCATATGTTATGAATCATTCATATTGTCTAAATATGGAGTTATTCAATTTGTGCAAGTGAAATTTTGCTCTCCTTCAATTTCAGAACTGAGACCAAAGTTTGAGAGTTGTTTAGGTAGGAAGCTAGCAAAGAATGAAAAGGCAATCTTCAAGCGACTAGCGATACATGCTGTAGAAGCCTTGGATGACCCTGCTGGTACTGATATACCTGACATTGGACTAAGAAGGACTAGTAAAAAAGAGAATGGATGGTTACAAGCCAAACCCACCCCTAGTATCCCAAACATTGGACTGAGCAATAAGGACATTAACTCAGGATGGTTACACGCCAAACCCTCTCCAAATGATGGACTCAGCAGGAATAACAAGAACACTGGAAGTTTACAGTCAAAATCTTCTTCTGTTTCTTCAAGCCCACCTTTGAGGTATGTGATTTTGATTTTGTTACTGACTTTTAATTAACTTTGCTCTATCCCTCACTCAGTTGGTACTGTTCATTTGGACGTAAGGCTTAATGTTGGTCAGCAGTGTTTCAGTAATATCTGCAGATTGATTTACAATAAATGATTTCTTATGTGTCTGCCACTGAAGGTGAGGTTGAACTATTTTGAGACCTGCTTTTATTTCCTGAAAATAGGATGACACATTTCAAGATGTAACCCAGCGCCACAAAACCACCAAACAATGGCCATGCAGAAACAATCCCTTGGTTTAGGTCTGATTCTCAGATTAAGAATGAGATATAACGATTGGATTTTTCTAACTCATGGAAAACAAAAGAGAGGAATGTCCACTTAAAAAATAAATTTCTTGTAAGAAGATGGCGTTTAAAGTCTACAATCTATTCAAGAGTTCTCTAATTCCCTAGGTATCAGGGCAAGGTGACAAAGGGAGGATTAGATCTCTAGAAATTTCTGTAAAGGGATTATGAGATTGTCCTAAACTTGGCAAACCAATTAAGCACATCCTATTCTTTATTTTATTTAGGTATCAATGTAACAAGCTTACTCTGTTTCAAAGTTTAGGAGATCAAAATGAGACAAGTAGCCAGGGTCATAAGGAAATGAAAACTGTTACAACAAAGTTAACAAACTCAAGATCAAATTAACGAACAAAGGTCTACAAAACCATGCCCAAAATACCACGTTTAGATTGTTGTGTACTTCCAAAGTTTGAAATTACATCAAACAAATTATACCCTTTCAGGAAATAATAAAAGAATTAAAAGTTGACCATGTGCACTAAACCCTCCTTTACTGAGCCTTACTTGATGCAGATTTTTTTTTTTTTTTTTTTTAGGTGCATGGTCAATCAGTCACATATATATTTGGTAGTACTTAAATATGTTATGCAGGTAATGATGATTGTGGTTACGAAACTACTCGCATTTGCCATAATTTTTACTCACTGGAACCGACAACTTCTTCATGTACACTTGTCAGGTATAGCTATATATGTGCAGATTGTTTACAGCAAATGTTTGTTTCCTCTTGTCAGGGACAATCACAGGGTCTCTTACCCTGGCTTCGAGCCCAAAGAGCCTGAGGTCAAAGGTCGTGACCTTCCATCTTGGATGAACTCACCTGCCGCTCAATCTGGTGAGGGCAAACCATGCCATAAGTGTGGAGGTAAGTCTAGCGGTCATTATTGTATGCCTCTATGAACAAGAGAGAGAAAGTGAGAAAGAGAGAGAGAGAGAGAAAGAGAGAGAGAGAAAGAGAGAGAGAGAGAGAGAGAGAAGGGGGGGGGGGGTGATATATTAAATGTTTCATGCTTTTGTAAGGACAAATCTATTTAAAAAATAAAATAAAAACATGTAATATGTCGGTTATTAGTTATAACATTAGCAGATGGAGTAATTTTTAGTGGCTTAATAGTGGGATTTTGTTCATCAACAATGCTGATTGTGTCACCAGTATTTATGCAGATAGTATGAATCGACAATAAAATAAATCTTAATTTTGTTGATAGCTACAGAGATGATTAGATATAAATCCCATTATTTGGTTAATTGTAGAATTCATATGAAGCTCTTTTTAGTCCTTAGTTCTTCTTTATTGCTACATTGCCATGATCTTTTAGATCCCTTGTTGACCACACATTGCAAGACAAACAAATATCAATAGCAATATTATTTTTGATACATTTTCTTCTTCATCTTTTTATCTGAACAGGATTGTATCCTGCGTCTCGTATGAACGTACACATGTTGGATTGCCGAGGGAAACGTGAATCGACATCAGTCAGCTCATCAGCTAGTCCTGCAACGCTCCTGAAACGCAGCGCCAACGCTCTAGTCCACGGACACCCTGGTGATTCATCCACTAAGAGACACATTGGTAGTGCTGCTGGAGGAGTTACTACGGCAATGGATGGTGCAATGGGGTATGGGATGGGGATGGATGGTAGTGAGGAAGACGTGTGTACTCCAAGGAGAGGAAGGCAAGGAAGTAAGCGTGGTGTTAATGGTAGGACAGGCAGAGGGAGGGGTCGGAATAACGATGGTCAATCGGGTTCTGCTTCCACCCCTGGACGAGGGCCTGGTCAGGGTAGGGCAAGAGGCCGGGGGAGGGGAAGAGGCCGAGGAGGTGCTAAAGCTGTGACAAAGAAAGGAAAGATGCCTACTTCAGTAGAATTTATCGATGCATCCTTTAGTTCCGATGATGAAGATGATCGTGCCACACCTTCAACCTCTGGTAGAGGAAGGGGGCAGAGAGGAGGGCGTGGTCAACCCAGGGGTAGGGGAAGAGGTAGGGGTCGAGGAAGGAATTCACCTTCTACTGACTTACCCAACCCATGGACTAACGTCTCTCCCAGTAGATCTGATGTCACAGATGATGAGCTAGACATCTCACATGATCCCGAGCCACGGATGACTTTTGACCTGGTCCCCTGTCCGATCTGCATGCAGAAGTTTCCTCAGTACAGTATAGAGACCCATGCTGCCTTCTGTGGGGAGTCAGGAGGGCTGCCTGGTGGGGGGCCTGGCGGGGTGGGGTTGGGAGGGTTTGGGGCGCTCGGTGGAGGCTTTCTTAGGGATGTTGAAGCAGCTATTTGGGTTGATTGATGAATGTGAGCTACCCTCAGAATGGGGAAAGAGACAAATTTGCATCTTTTTTTTTTTTTTTTTTACTAATGTCCATAGAAAAGAGGTATATTGAAAATTAATTAGCTTAGGTATGTGTAGTCATATTATTGACATGTCAATAAAAACATAATCAATATTATTATCTATACTGTTGTAATGTAACGAAGGATCACTGTATTTTTAATACAAAGACCGTTCTTTAGGGCAATTAGACTACTTCTTAGTCCCATATGTGCATGTGTGTGTTTGACGTTCATAGTTTTGTGTGTAATTTGTAGCAAGGTTAGCAAGTCTAAATTTTGGCCCGATATTTAGACTATATCAAAGATCTAAATATGCCCGATACTTGATTAACAGCCCTACTGAAACTTGGAACGAACCATACATCAGGAAAATTAATATTTGCAAATGTTTTTATTGTCCCATGATATTTACACCATTTATTTGTGACTCGTAACTCCAAAAAGCCTTGGGACTTGCTCGATGCTAAGTATATACAATCATTTTGCTTATCCCAACTTCCTGTCGGTTCATTTACTACATGATCCAGAAAGTGATGTAGCTCCATGACAAGTTACTCTCAAAATTAGTTTCACTGCGAGTATTCATGATTATAATAGAACAACTTTATACTACCTTTTCATATGTAGTATCTTTTGCTTTTGCATGATAGAAATCAGACCTATCTAACAAAAGGTACGTGTTTGTTACTGATATTTCACAACCAAAATCTCTTGCCAGCTTATTGTTATCATGTCCCATTCTTAATGAACCAGAGATGACTGATGTTGCCATTAATAGAATTCTCAAAACTTCTATATGTATTTTTTTTCTCTATTAATCTTAAGTTGTATATGTACTGTACATTAAATCAATATTGTATGAATGTACTCGTTCTTTGTGTATTCAAGTATTCCTGTAGATATTAAACATAAACACTGCATGACTAGTCTATAATGATAGAACTGTTATCTATAACCATTAATTGGATTAACTCTGAATATACAAAATGGACATTTATTTCTTACAAGCTGTTCCAAAATGATTGGTTACAGAAAATAAGAAAGTATAATTAATGAGAATTCATTTTGGTAATAGGAATATATTTATCAGTAATATAAGATTAGTATGCCAGTACCCATCAGTACTTCAAGTGTCATCAAAATTTGCTGTCAAACTTTTTGTGTCATTAGAAACATAGTTCAAAACACTTTGAGCTTTTCTATTCTGTATCTTTGATGTACATTGGTGACTGAAAATATTGTACATGAAATACATTGTATATATCTGTGTTGTACACAATGTATTTGCATTAGGGTGGGCTCAATATCAACAGGTGTCTAGAACACATGGGTGCTTATAATTAGTTTGGAACCCCCCCCCCCCCCCCCCACCATTTCAAAATTGTAATGTGGGCTGCTCATCGATACAGCCTTCAAAACGTCCAACCCAGGCCTCCTACTAAAAATAATAAAATTAGTGTGGAGCCCTACGTAGAATTACCGGTAATAAATAACAATCTAAACATGCTGTATCATAAAACATTGAACCATTTCAACTTCATCTCTCAGCCTCGCTACGACTCTTAACAAAAATAGACAAATAGAAACTGATTGGATCATGTGGTTGTTTCAGGAAAATCATTTGTATTTATTCCAATTACTCTATCATGGTTAAGTAGAATAAAAATAGCCTTCTTAATATAAACATGTTTATCTTTTTACCATTTGTAAATAGTATTTATTTCCTTCATTTATAAACATAAAAATTCATTTAAATGTACAGTAAAATGTTTTAAATTAAATAAATCTTGTTTAATCTATCAAGAATGGTTGTCTGTTGTGTGCTAACTCTACATTATGACCCTACTCATTTAAAGGGCTCTGTCAAGATTGATTAGGATTGACAAGGATTGACAAGAACAAATTTGTTTGAGCTGTAATGATTGATTGGGATACACAGGTTTTTTTATATTCCAGATCTTTTCTGAACTGGAACGTCTATATATACAAACTCATTGGTTGAAAATATCTATGCTGTGAAGCATGTTCAATCTCAAAATGGCATTACCTTTCAGAGAGGTGGGAAATGTGTAAAACAGAGCAAGATGATTGTTTCTGGTCAATCGTTTGTAATTACTATGTAAGCTTAAATCTTCAAACTCTGCCTCTTCTCATTAATTTATGTCTTGGTCTTCATAATTTTCAAAGTGATTTCCCATCTCATTTCTGAAAAGGGCCTGAAGTATCAGAATTTCAATCTGTTGCATGTAGCCGAGGATTGTAAAACCATTGAGTAAGCACAAATAATTGCTATAATTTTGTCAGATCAAACCCCATTAAATTGTTATAGGGTCCTTATCTCACAATTCTACTCCCATCATATAATATTGGAAGCATTTACATTTTGTTTGCTTATGAAAATATACTCTTCTTAAAGTTGATAATCATGATTATCTTGGCTTAATGTCTAATCCAATCTCTAACCCCCTCATTTCAGTTTTTAAATAATGTTTACCGGTATGTTTATTATTTTATTCAAAGTGATTATGGCACAGCAGTACAAAAATAAAAACTGAAACAGGAAACTGGAATGTCCTTTGTGCTTTGATAGTTGATACAATCCACATAGCAACAATATAATATATTAAATAACGGTAGCAGTAAGTGAAACTGCTATTACACATAAATTGCACAATATATTTTACATTTTCCAACAAGGAATTTCTTCTCTATACTTCTACATAACTAAATAAACATGCCCCCCCCCCATTGGAAGAAAAAAAAAAAACCTGTAGGAAGGATTTCTGAAAGCTGATGGTCCTTGTAAGTTGAATACCCAGTTGTAAAACTAATGGATAGATATCCCTACATGGGAAATATGTACAAATCAGCCAGTGGTCAATTGCATGCATACTTTTATGTCACAGATTTGAGAAAAGAGGACCCAAGTTCCTCTTATGGGAGATTCTGTTCAATGTGTCCTGAAATAGGTATTTTTCACATTTATTTCATCCCAGGGTGAAAAATATCTTAATAAATTATGACCATGTAATAATGTAAGTGATACCAGGAAAAGACAAGAGTCAATGATCCTGATAAATGACTTTCATTTTTGGATAAAACGAACTGGATAAATGTCATATGTCTAATAGGAAACATGGCATGGAATCGCCTTACATGAACAAAATGTGAAAGCGTAGTTGTTGAGGGCATCACGTAATCTTATGTTTTTAACTACACATACCTTATAAGTTCCCCATTCAAGCAGAAAATAGAGAAATATTGAACCAAATAAACATCAGCTCGAAAAGGAGACTTTCATTCGTTAATTTTCATTGATATCACTGCTATTGTTGCTACCATCACAATCTGTGCGATGCGTTTCCATGTAGCGTCTCATCTTCTCCAAGATCTCAGGTGGAACATTGAATGTTTGAAGCTCCTCTAGCGCTAGACTTCCACATTCTCTGTTTGGGGTGAGGGGGAGGGGAGGGGGGGGGGGTGAAGGAATAAAGTGAAGAAAAGTGGTATCAAGTGTACAGTGGGTAAGAAAAAGAAAGGGTAAAAGGGAAATGGTATACATTTTAAATCAATGTATGGTCAATATGTAATGCAAATCAAACTCAAATAATTTCTTGTTACAACAAAAAGGTATAGGGTTAAAGTGTTATCTAACAAAAATTACAGTATGCATTGCTTTTATTAACATTACTCATGATAGCCTAGGAATAGAAATTCCTATTTTTCATGTTGCCCAAAATGAGACTTCACCTAAGAAAGAGGGAAAGTTACATATCCTGTAATCAGAATTTTGTGACTTATCAAGAACAAAGTACATGGGGATCTTCTACAATACATAACATAGCCAATTTTAACATTGGGGCAAATATTAATACAGTGTTCAGGATAGAAATGGTATCCTTATTTGCCTGCTTATTAGGATTTCACAGCTCTTAAATTTATCAACAGTGTACATTACCTTCAAAGCATTAAATGTCATTATGCACTTGTCATTTGTAAGACGCACCTCTTGACCCCCGGGAATGGTGCGTCATTGTAACGATGTGAGTCGTACATTTTGATACCATGACGCACCTTCCGTCACAGAAAGTGACACACCATTACATTCCATCGACGCACATTTGAGTCAAACATATGACACACCATTTCATGAAAATGACTAGCCAATGACGCACATTTGAGAAACACTTCTGCTTGGAGAAAGTGACGGTCCCATTGACACACCAAATGACGCAACGTGGTAAAGTGACTTACTATGACGCACATATGGGTCAGTATTGTGACGGACATTTTGCGGCCATGACGGTACTGTGCGTCGCGATTTTGGGGAACATGACGCAACCATGATGCACCATCCCCGGGGGTCAAAAGGTGCGTCTTACAAATGACACCTGCATTAATCCTGAAGGGGGGGGGGGGGTGTGCAAAGGAAAATTTTCAACTTTTGACTTACTTATACTCTTCTGTCTCTGCCAAATCAAGAACATCTTCAAGTAGGAGGATGTAAGCCTTTCCTCCAGTCGCTGGCATGAGATGATTATCATACAGCCACTGTTTGTCATCTTGGTCCCCAGCATACTACATTAAAAAATATTGTTAAAATAAGGTCAGTCAATATCCTACTGACCAAATGACTAATCATCACTACATCTGGGCCTTGTTTCATGAAACTTGTTATCAATGACAAGTAACAATAACTGTTATAAGCTACTGAAAATGTGGCATTTGATTGGCAGAGAGCAAATTTGTCATAGAAATTTAGGACTTGTTGGTGATAACAAGTTTCATGAAACAGGGACCTGGTTTATCTACTTCAGAGGAAGACAGTTTATTCCATGAAACACTACTCATGGAATACCATGGGAACATTATTTGCCAGTGAAATGCCTCAACTGCCAGGGGTAACTTATCTATGTAAGTTACCTATTACTATTTTTGAGTTCCATAAGGTCTTTTTTTTTTTCTCATGGTATGGACTCTTACGGTACCAGCATTCATAAAAAGTCTATGCTCAACATCATTCATATTAAGAAATTTTAAAGACTAAAACGAGTTTAAAAATATCTACCAATCTAATCATAACATGATCATCAATTGATTTGGAAGAAGAATGACAGATTTTTACCTTAAATAGTTCTGGATGCTTGATGTATAATCTTCCTCTTGTAGCACCTAGACCAAGAGCTCTGGAAAGGAGACAAATATTACAGGGAAAAAAAAACAATGGAGTCAAAAAAATTCAACTAGATTCTCTGTCAACATTATCTCTAGTAGCAAACACAAATAATGATAAAAACATTTCAACTATGACAGTTTTATATTACCTTCGTCATCATTATCACCATTAAAACCTTCATCATCGCTATTCTTTCATTTTCCCATTATATCCAGTATTGTTTTAAAATCCTTTTCATATAACAGGCATGCTGGGTTCCTTTTCATGAAAGGCTATGAAACTATATGATTCTGGAGCTCTCAACTATGAAAACTTACACAAAAGAAACCTACAAAGAAATCTTTCCCTACTTTTATCCTTCACAAATTGTAAGTTGAACACAACAAAAATAAATCAACTATGATCTTACTTGTTAGCCTTGGCACCCATGACAAACCTAGATCCATGGACCAGTCTGGAGGGGTCCCACTTGGGTCCTTCTTTCTTGACCGGTTCTACCTTGACCTTGTTACTCTTATAGCTCCCAGAGGAGGAGGTCGTGATCACATCCGTGTAGTCACGGTGATGTGCAGGAGGGCGCCCTTTCCTCTGTAAACAAATAATAATAATAATAATATTAGTGGATTCTTGTATAGCGCTCATGTCTGTCAGATTATTACCCTGGCTTTAGCAAGGCTGCCATTATGGCGATTTAGCAACATTTCTTATGCACCCATCCCAAGGAATGCTCAAGACCCCTAACAGGATACGTACATGTACAGTGAAACCTGTCTATAAAGACCACCCAAGGGAGACAAGAAAAGCGGTTTTTATAGGCAGGTCATCTTTTAAGTACAGGTTCGTTTAGTATATATTTCAATGAGAAACCTTTTACAAGGGAAACAAAAAAATGTTTTTTGTAGACAGGTGGTCTTTCTATACAGGTTTGACTGTATATAGCCAACAATTCATAAAAAGCTTTAGAAGGTAATTAATATTAATATAGGAGCAAACTTGTTAATTGGAGCCAGGAGGGTGTTAACTCTTTGAAAACTGTGGGTCAATGCCCTTCTGGTTCTAAACAGATGATGTCTGAATCACATTTGAGTTTATTAGTTATTTAACTATGGAATGATATCATACTCTAGTTACAATGCACATGAATACTGGGTGTAGTTTCTCAGCTGATGAAGGTGATAAGCTGACCAGCTTCAAGATGTTTAGTATAGAGGTACCTTTCTGGTCTGTATTCTTGGTGGTGGCCTCAGTGAGAATGTGGAGTTGTTGTCTGGATTGTGCTTGGATCTCTGAAAATAGTAAAACAAGATCTAAATATTAATACTCTGAACTTATTTGGACCAATTGTATTCCTCAATAATGATGCAAAAGTCCCTATTCATAATATTAGATGGTAAACACTTAACTTTAACTTTTCAATATGGCTTTGCAAACATTTTCAAGACGGAAAACAAAAAGTGTGCACAATCTACTATCTACTAAGGCATTATATTACAAAACTGTAAAACTTTGATTGAAATCAAGATCAAATACTGACCTTTCTCTCTGGTTCATCACAATCCTCATCATCATTCCTTCTGAGCACAGCTTCTGATGTCTTCATTTTATCTAGATGCATCTTGACATTAATCTTATGAGAACCTGATCCATGTCTCTCTTTACCCGTCTGCTTCCCAGAGGGCTGGAATAGATCTTTGGCCTGTACAGTGTGAACATTAGAAAATAGTAAATACTACAGTCAAACCTGCTTTAGTGACCACCTGTCTACAAAGGACACATTATTTGTTTCCCTTGAAAATGGTTTCTCATTGAAACATGTACTAAAGGAACCTGTACATGAAGACCACCTGTCTGTAAAGACCACTTTTTTGTCTCCCTTGGTTACTGGTGACTGTCTCTCTTTACTTGTCTGCTTATCAGAGGACCGAAATAAATCTTTGGCCTGTACAGGATGGGACAGATGAGATAGTCGCTACTACAATGTAACCATTACTATTGTCCCCCTTTGTTTTTCTTTGCCTGTATGATAATCGGATGGATAGAATAGATCTTTGGCCTGTATAGTGTGGTAATGAGAAGTTGGTAATTACCACAAGGTGCCTGTACATATTGCCTATTAAATGTCTCTCTTTCCACTCCAGAAGGGTGGAATAGAACTTGGCTTGTAGAGTGTGGAAATTGCGATGGTAAATAATATTTTTTTTAAATGTGGAGTATTTATGCATTTACTCACATTACTCACAGGAAATTACAACCTCATCCATATTTACTCCATTCACTTGCATGTCAAGTTATCAGAGGAGATTCACTGTTCTATACTGACTATTCAACTTCACTGTGTACTGGTACATAGAGACTGCAGGTGCTAAGCCAAGCCACCACACACAGATGGTCTATATCTGCATCTTGATAAATGCATATGCATTAGATTGTAAGCAAGGGCCTCATATCTGGCAGACTCTCCCTTCAAATTGAAATTCATATAAAAATTCCTTTTTTCTTGTGACAATAATAAGAATAATAAATATTTAAACAGCTTACCGCTTCCAAGCTGTTCCTGAAGACAGTCAATACATGTTCTTCAGTCACGCTGTCTGCTCCATAGTTCTCTCTCATGTTTTCAACAGCCATGTAGAAAAACTGAAATGAAATTGAAATGCAGTTTTATTTTCATCATTACAGTACAAAACTGAAGTTGTGGCACATGAAGAAAAAAAATCCAAGAGAGACAGAGAGTGAGAGAACACATACCGGTAACCAAGGTGACTGACAAACTACTCACAATTGACAGTCGAGATTAGTATTGTTAAAAATAGCAAATGATGTAGCTTAAAAACCAAGAATCTTACATAAAGAAGTCTCAGATCAAATACTTCATAAAATTAAATTACGTTCATACCTATTCCCCATTTCCTGTTTCATTAGGTAGAATAATGCACATACTAGATTTTTCGTTTTGTAATGTATTTCTTTTTAAGAGCCACCTAGAAAACTCTTAAGTAATTTTGAAGATTTTAATATACATATTAACAAGAACAGTGCATTGTGTAGATGCAAAATTAAGCACTGCCGGTAAATAAGTTCATATAATATTCATACGTTCCTACATTCAAACAATGCTTGTCAGAGAATTATATCCTTTAAAATGCTAATAATAAAATAACGAACATTTAGTTTCGCAGACAATATTGGCGAGAGACCTACCTGAGCATAATACTGGAATATGCAATGGATATCCTTGTTGATTCGCTTCTGTAAGGTTCCTCGTAAGATCTCCAAGGGTGTGATTGGATTGAACACAACACCACTCCTGTAAACAATGAGGGACAATTGAACACTTTGCTGAAAATGTGATTTCTTAATAAATACAGGCATAATGGTACAAATTTTTGAACACTTGTATGGTACTTTATCAAGTGTATCCAAAACAAGCAAGTTAAGCAGACATCTTTTTCTACAACCCCGTCACCTGTAGAAATGTGCATCCAGCTAAAAGCAATTTTTCTTATATTTCCTATGTGTGAGACTTTAAATTGTTATTTATATTATATCTTGTATAAAAACAATACTGTACATACAAAATGTGTAATTTTGTCTGAGATTACCAAATTGATATTACTTGGATCTCTGTAAATCCTTTCATACTAAACAACTTTTTGATAGAGGTTCACCAGGGGATCATCTTTTCTTGAGAACATTCCTGGGGAGTGTTTCACAAAGCCTTTTTTCAATGACAAATGACAAAAATCAGTGACAAATCTGCTGATAACTAATCAGAGGCAAGGATTTCAGTAGCTTATAACAAAAACTGTCATTTGTCACTGATGACAAGTTTTGTGAAATGGGGCCCTGTTCTTACCTGGTCTTGAAGTTGACGCCTGGTTGTCTGGTTAGTCTTTGATGCTTGCTGGTGGGAAAGGTCTTCAAAGACATGCAAAAAGGATTCTTCTGCAAAAATCATGATAACAAAAGAAAAGGTTTGAAAAACAGAAAGAAACTTTTTTTTTCAAATAGAAGAACAAAAGATAACAAATGTAGAGTGCAGTACACTAATCACAAGTACAGAAGACATTCTGAATCATATCCTAACGGTATACAGTCAAATCTATCTTAGTGGCCACCTCTCTATAAATGCCACCTGTCTATAATGACCATGCATTTTGTCTACCTGGAGAAAATAATTTGTGTTTTATAAACCTGCCTTTAAAAGGCCACCTGTCTACACTGACCACTTTTGCTGTTTCCATTGGGCAGCCTCAATAGACAGGTGTGACTCTACTTTCCTTTGATTATAAACCTCCATCAATTTCTTATTCTTGCAAAATTAGGAAATCAATTGAGGTCTCCCAACTTTCAAAGCAAAGTGTAGAGTGTAGACAATCTGTTGATTACCATTTAAAGGTTTGAAACAATAAATATATTAAGCCCAATCTAAAAATGAAACAAAGCCTACTACTAAATTTGACTCTTTCAATTTCATTTATGATAATGTTTTAAACACATATAGCGCTACAGAGGGAGTTAAAAAACTCCTATAACTTGTTTCACTCTATCAAAATAGAGACAGTGACTCATTAATTATTTTCAAATGATTAATCATTTATAGAGATTAGGTATTGTATAGGATGCTTACTATCTTGTTACACAGAAGAGCCTTCTTCTTTGTCAGGCTGTCATTAGTCCAGTGTGGTGGCAGGCTTTCAACAAAACTCATCTTGTCAATTCTCAGTTGTACCTGAAAGTAGATCACACCATGTTAGTCAGCATCATAGATTTGATAAAATTTACTTTCACATTGTCACAGATATTATGGTTTAAAGGTAAAGACCAGTTATGGTCATGCAATTGCATTGTGAAAGAAACGTTGTGGAATCGATCAGAAAAGGTCGATCATCTAGCATCTAGCATCTGCAAGGTTCTGGAATCATCAAAATGATAAGAAATTTGGCCCATTCTTCATAAAGTTACAAGTACTATACACAGAAAGATGTATATGGGACTACCCTATATCTCTCACAGTCCATGAGAGAAACAAATTTACCAAATATATGAATTAGTAGGCGGTTTCCCGGCTAATTTTTTATCATCATGTATTAGTCAAAACATATTCTTTCACATGATTGGTAATGAGAGCTTCCATTTCATTTTTTGAAATTGGGGCGTTTCCAATACTGGTCTTTACCTTTAACTGTATATGACCCAAGACCAAATCATGATCAATTTTAATAGTTGAGAACAACATTAGAATGATAGCAGGGCTCAAATTGAGACCCTACTTCTTGTTTATGTTTAAATATTTATATGTGGCACTACAAAGTAAAACAGAGTTGAACATTTTGTGTTAATTGCAATAATTTGCTCAGGTTTTAAACTGAAAAAGAGCTCTTGGGATTTTAACAATGAAATACTTAAATATCACTAAGAAAATTGCACTTACATGTATGCTAGTAAATTACAAAACCAAGTCCTAAACTTTGTATTTAGATTAAGAGATCCTGTGAACTGAAAGTATATTTTACACTGGCAGATAATGAGATATTATTAAGATGACTGCAGGGAGTATGGGAGGGTTCTTTTTGTGTTAGAAGAGAGCCAGCGTTAAAATTCAAGAGATGTTAAACTGAAAAAAACCTCTTCCACATCACCCTGGTTTCATGAAACCGTTGTAAGTGCAAGATTGGCAACATTCCATTGAGAAGAATATTCACCTGTGTCAACTGGATGTCGGCGCATTTGTTCTTTTGAAAGTTGTGTGATATGCTAGCTATGCTAGAGAAAACCTTTTTTGTTGTTGCTTTACCTTTGCCTTTTTGGTTAAATTTTGGCATTGAAAACAAAATCAACTCACTATCGGGTCATCATTCAATATTCATATCATAACTTAGTATATATAGCACTCACTCAGTCATCTATTTATGGATCATTATATGAGACAATGACATTCAATGACAAAAATAGACCTATCAACACAATTCCAGAGGGAATTTCTAACAGTGCACAGTGCACTGTTTTGTGTGTGAATAGACTATGGTCCACAGTATTGCCCCACAGCTTATAATCTGTGTTGTTTCCATCCGGTCAAAAGGAAAAAAACGCGAGCACACACACAAAATATACCCCAAAAATACATTTGGTCTGCATTCTGATCTTTTTCAAAGATATTTTGAGTCCATCCTTTCATTAATTATACAGTAAAACACATAAAATCGTTCTTTGCTCACCGGTATTGCTGCAAAATTCAGTCAAACGATGAGGAACGTCACGTAGTTGTAATTGCAGAACCGTCCTTGTTGTGAAAGTACCGCACACGCATGCAATAAATAAATACCGGTATTCATAATGGTCGCTCGGTAAGTCAAAAACTACATTGCTAAACACTTGCCGCTGCTCTTGCTCTGATTTGTTACTCATTTTTAAATTTTTTTATTCTAAATTTCTACCCTATATTTTGGCCAATATCTGATTTTTCTGGTAATTGTAATTTAATTAATTATGGTTGGCATTTTATATAATTCTATTTTTGTGATAATTCTGTATGATCCTATTTTTCCCATGTAGGCTATTCTCAAAAAGTTATTATAATTTCTGATTTGATAAAGTGATGGCAATTTTGTTCTTAAAACTGCTAGCTGGTAAGTTTTGAAATAAAGTATAAGTTAGAATGACTTTAGAAAACAACGGGGAGGGGAAGCGGGGGATATAGAGTCTTGAAGGACATTACAGTCATTTATTTTCTTGTCACTTTAGAAGAAGAAAAAAATCACTCATGATAAGCATATTTATTGTACTTCTTCTTTGATGTTTTTCTTTTATTAACGGCCAATTATTATTCAGAGTTAACATTGGTACATTATAACAAAGAGATTGCAACAGTCTATATCATTTTCTGTGACACATAAACTCAACATCCAAGGGGTAAAATACTATAACTTTCTAGTTTCTACCTCTATATGGGCAGCATATTTTGGCAATCTTTTTTGGTCCATTTTCATTTTATAATGATTATTACTAGGGTCAAAATAATTTGTGACACAATGCCCATCAAGTCGTCTCAGTAATCTGGGGGTATTATCATGGACCATAGTGAGTCCCAAATGAGATGTCTACATGCAGTCTTTGATGGCTTCTAACACTATAACCTAACTTACTAACATACCCCTAACATCAACACACTAACCCACATTGGACTAACCCACCCCCTCAACACCACACAAATAAACAACACACTAATGCTAATCCATAAAACCATAACAGGACAAAATTTAAATTTCATTGTAGTATCTTTTAGACACCCTGTATAAACAAACCCACACAAGAGGCATATAATAGATAATTTCATAAAGTAGAAGTCTTTAATAAATCATGGAAAATGCAGAGAACTTTACATGTACATGTGTATATACATGAGCATTTCAAAGTTTACAACTTGATAAGAATTTAACAAAAAACAAAATCAAAAGAAAAGAAAAGAAAAGAAAGAGAAATATTTATCAATATACAAAGCTGAACAGATAACAATGTACTTTATAGAGTATTTCTTGCCTACTACTCTCATCACCGCATGCACACTGAAAATAAATGACTAAGAAGTAACAACTAAATGTACCAGTATAACCAATTGAATTGACTGTACCAAGACTGATTACATTCTGTTCTATTCCGATCATCTTACATGTCTCATACCTAAAGGCAAAACTATAACACCATCCTTACCAAACAAAGGCATTACAACAAACTACGAACTTGTATCAAAACCAAGAGAATACCTAAATTTCACATTTAAATATGTAAATTAAAAATTAATATCCACCTTCACATGCTATTGTACAAAGGAAATGAGGATAAACATTGTAACTCCAGCTTTACATTTAAATACTGGTATGCATTCTTGCATCATGCCTCAATATATACCTCATCTTAAAAAAGTTGAAATATATAATTTGAGAATGGGTGATGTGTTCAATAACTTGGCAATATCCTTGTCTGAACACATAATTTCCAGATACTCGGTTAGGTACCATACATTGTAGTTATACAACCTGGAATAAAAGTTTGTACCTAAAAACATTGTGACACATTAAACATAATGGATGTTGACAATGAGAATCCAAAAGTAAAACACATAATATATAAATGACCCAACTAGAAAAAGAAAACAAATATTGTCAGATGAATTGCACATCACAATTTTTTTTTAAATTGTTAACCTTGGTTAACAGTAATCAATTCACATCTAATATGTCATATTTTAGAACGGTAAGATCGCTAAATCCATGCATGCTATTGTTATCCCTATAACTTAGATGGAAATTCATGGAATAATACCTGCAAATACAAAGGAATCTATTTTTAAAACACACCTCAACCATAATGGCTTTATATACTTTCTCTGTCATGATTTTATGTCATTAAAAAACACTTTATTCCAAGAATAATATGAATTAAAGAACATTCAAATTTGATAACCTGAAAAACAGCATATTCAACATATCAAAAACATGATGAAATAGACATAACAGGAAACCGATGCAGAACAGATCGAGAAAAATAAATCTGAAAAAGATATCCAAAGAGATTTTAATTTAAACAATAAACCAATTATTCCCTATGTTCCTGATGATTACATCTTTACAAATAGTTTCCAACTGATTAACTCAAGTAGTACCTACATCTCAATGAGGAAAAAAAGAAAGAAAAGAAATGCATGTGCAATGCTGTAATAATAATAAATATAATTTTTATACATAAGGGGACTATGTGCTTCTCTCTATCTCTCTACCCTATAGTAGTATAGTTGCCTACCAATAATAAAATGTATCCTTTAAAGGTAAAGACCAGTTATGGTCATGCGATTGCATTGTGAAAGAAACGTTGTGGAATCGATCAGAAAAGGTCGATCATCTAGCATCTAGCATCTGCAAGGTTCCGGAATCATCAAAATGATAAGAAATTTGGCTCATTCTTCGTAAAGTTACAAGCACTATACACAGAAAGATGTATATGGGACTACCCTATCTCTCTCACCAGACCATGAGAGAAATAAATTTACCAAATATATGAATTAGTAGGCGGTTTCCCGGCAAATTTTTTATCATCATGTATTAGTCAAAACATATTCTTTCACATGATTGGTAATGAGAGCTTCCATTTCATTTTTTGAAATTGGGGCGTTGCCAATACTGGTCTTTACCTTTAAATTCCTATAGAACATTTCAACATATATTCATAATTTTCTAAACACACAAAAAAGTTGGGAAAAAATCAAAGGTAAAACAAGTCGCAATGCAAAAAGAACACTTAATTGTAAATTTATCTAAACTTTAATTTTTTTTGGTTTTAGTGATTACAATATGAAACCATTACAGTCTATATCAAACTGCCATTTTTGTAACAAAATGAATATTGAAATTCTCTAGAAACAGTTTTCCTTGTTCAATTCATTTCTTACAGAGGACAAATGGAGGTACAGTCCAGACGCCATACTTTAGATTCATTTAGGGTTTCATCAAATGAGATGATCATGTCGTGGCAAGGGTAAATATCATCTGTTTAGAGGTAGAAATGTTTTAACTCATATACTCTAACACAAGAGTTAACGCCTTTCTGGCTTTAAACAGATGATAACTACTTTTCAACATTTTCAGCAAGAAGTTTTTTAGTTGGATTTCCTTGGTGTGTATCACACTATCAGCAATGATCAATTCTTTTCATTCCATTGAAAATTTATAACCTGTACTCATCAAACTGTATTTCAAAAGAAATTGTCTATAGGTCATTTGGAAGTTTAAAAACAACACTATGTGTGAACAACATCCTTATTCATTCTTGACAGTCAGTGTCAATTCTATTGTAATAAGAGAAGCTAATCTTCATGACAAGAAAATTAAGATGACCTTCATGTCTACATAACCCCTATCTCCAGTTCTATAGGCCCATATTCATAAAACTTAAGTTAGTTAACTACACACCATTTAGACATATGCTGGTGATAGTAATCATCTTACTCTCAAAACTACATTATTTTCTTAATTTCTTTATGTTAATTGTTATAATAAATCTAAATTAGGAAAGGTAATTAGTTAATTTCTGCTAAAAAGCAATTATTTCAAAGAAACATCTTCCGGAGCACCAAAAAGAGCTTGTTCTGAGTGACGTCAATTTGTGGTGAAAATGAACATTTTCTCCATTCACATTCTAGGGATAACAATACAGTTTTCAGAATAAATGCACTAGGCCTAGTAAAGTTTTATGAAAATGGGCCGTGATATTTAAAACTACGTAATGCTTAATAATGTCTACACCACTCTCCTGACTTCAAAGAATCTCTTAAGATAATACACCTGTCCTAGCGTCATGGCAACCAGCACCAAGCTCTCAAAGAATGCCCATAATACCACTCTGGAATTTGTGTTGTCGTTAACTGCAAGTGGGAAAAAAGATGAAAATTAAAAAAAAGGAGGAATTGATTAATATGAAGTTGAAAAATGCAAACATTGAAATGGGCAAAATAATGAAATGTTTGACATTCAAAGAAAGATCAAGAAGTATTAACTGTGACCACGGATGGAGTCTTAGGAAGAAATAAATTAGTTACACTTGTCTGAGAAATTAGAGTAGTGACAGTCATAAGTCAGTGACATCTTTGTCATTCTATGTCAATATGAGCCTTGTTAAGCTGACAATTAAAGCAAAATTGAGCATTTATCATGCCCTATAATTGTGACTTCATTTTCATGGCAAATGAAATGTGACAATCCCACATACTCATACATCTTTACAAGACATCTATAAAATTACAAAAGTTATGTTTTACAGTAAAAGTAGTCTTCACACACCACATATAAAAACAAATATACATGGAAAGTAACAGAGAAGAAGAGAGACTGACAGGTTTTTAGGTTAAATGATTACTTACTTGATCTATGAACCCTTTCTCTGACTTCCATATATTCAAGTTCATGTTTGACCCCTGTAAGACCTGTTGCTAGTTCATTCACCATCTCTTCAAGTTTGCTCTGATGCTCTGAAAGAAAAGAAAGGTGAAACGAGAGTAGGATCAATAATAGCAAGAAAGAGGGAATCTCAGGGACTCATAGACACGATGGATAAAAGAGAAATTGGCAATTCCATTATTTATTACAAATATCTGGCAGACTATGCCACATACATGTACATTTAACAAAAATATTTATCAGAAAAATGTTGTGTTCTCCATCACATCTGGAATTTTGTAAGAGACTATAATATGTATCTTACTTCTATCCCTTCAAAATATGATGAGAAGAAAAAAAATCCTAGGAAGTATATGAATAAGAAATGAAATATTGATGACTATTCAAATAGCAAACATTTTGCAGCACATGAAAGATTTAAATACTTTAAAGTTATACAATTATACACATGATGAAATGATGTATTAAGTCAACGTTCATATTGTCTAAAATGCTCATTGTAAGTTGACTTTCATAATCATCTAGTACGCATTCCTCAGTCCTATTTCAATTTCACAATAAAGGCATGTTGTTTTTACAAAGAAAAAATGTTAAGGCTGTCTTCTCTCCTGATTTTTGTTTACAGCTTCCAAAGAAGAGCATAAGCTTAATCATTTCAGGATTTTATTTAATTATCCATAAAACAAAGTTTTCAAGCCAGATATCTAAGCTAGGCAGTATGAGGCTACCTATCAAACTACCTGAAAAAGACACTGTTTTACAGTATTCAAAGAAGAGCATGTAAGCATACTCATTTCAGGATTTTAAAAATTATTTAAAAAAAAATATTTTCAAGCCAGATTAACCTACCTTCTGTTTCTATTCCTTGATCTTTAGGTTGGTCTCCTACATCCATGGAGAACATAACAATCTTAGGTGTCATTGTTGACATCTTATTGCTGAAGCAGTATCTGTAAACTCCATCCATGTGAGCTGCAAAGGTGTATTTACCATTGGACTCTCTCTCTCCTGTGTGAATAGCTTTACCATCTGGTCCAGAAATCTGAGGTTAAGAAGGGCAAACATGGGTACACATTACTCATAATTTAACAGCTACATGGATTTAATTTATAATTGTGTTAAAAAATTGGCACCAATTTATCTGCAAGAACTAATCCAGGAATACAAACCCTCATGCAGTCTATGGTCATCTTCACAATTAAACCTTGTGCCTTCTTCGGTGTCAACTCCTTCTTGTGGTCATCGCTCATTTTGCAAAGCTTCCGCTGAACTTTGGAACAAACTACCTTTACATTTCAAAAACTGTCAGACTGTCCACCAATTCAATGGGATTTGCCCTTGTTTGACCAAAAAAATGAAAAGAAAACAACAACAACAAATAAACGACACACAGATCCAGTCTATGGACAAAGATAAGAGATGAAGGCAAAAGAAAAAATGCTTGATGAGGTCCTCAAAATTTTGGTGTAGGGTTGAAAGATTAATTTCATAAGTAAAAAAGAAAATTATTACAGGAAGAATATCATTGATTCTTTAATTCATTTATGATTTGAAGTAGAGCTAGGGGGTCTATTAACGTCTATACAGATACTGGACTCTAGACAAGAATGACAAATAGGGACAAATGGAGGGAAAAGGGAGAATATACAATGTAGACTTGGACTCGGTCATAGGCATGATGAGGAAAGTTTCAACTTTGTCCCCTTTAAAAAAAGAATTAATTAAAGAAATAAGAATAAGGTCTAGGCCTATACCCAAAATGTGTGTCTGGACAGGCTGTGGTATCAATCTGGAGACCAAATTTCTGTCTCTTTCGTTCGTTAGCCTCTGATTTGGGTAGGGTCGGCTCCTCTAAAGAGAGGAGCCGACCCTACCCAAATCAAAGGAGCCGACCCTACCCAAATCAAAGGAGCCGACCCCACCCAAATCAAGAGGAGCCGACCCTACCCAAATCAGAGGCTATACGAAAGAGACAAAAATTTTGTTCTATGGTATCTGGACAGTTGATTTAAAACAGCGACTTGAAGATGTTTAAATGCAATATTTATTACACTTCATACATCTTTGAAGAATATGTTAAAACAATATTAAATATATATGATGGTTTGGGGTTATTTGACAAAACATTTTGGTTATAAACAAAGGCAACAGTGTCAGTGCAGTGACTACTTTATTTTGTAAAGCGTTCAAACTTCACTGACAGCTGACCAGACACACAATTCCCCATCATCATCAATAATATATTCATAACAAAATTCATAAGTCTAAGTTACTCACTCTAAGTAAGAAGAGTAAGACTAAGTATAAATTTAACAATACACAAGAACACAAAATCAAATCAAATATGTGTTAAATAACTACACAATCTGAAAAAGAAAAAGGATGAATGCAAATAAATACTTGAGGAAAGAGTAATGAAAATATTTTTTTCATATTCACCTTCACATCAATGTCAAGAAATCCTCCCTCTGCAACTTCAAATGTGAGAGCCATTCTTGTCCCAGATGACACTCTGTCGTGGAAACATTCTTCTGCATGGGCATCAATGGCAATGAAATATGCTTTTACTGTTGTCATACACATGACAAAAAAAGCAATAAAAAGGATGTAATGATAAGTTGCCATCTTGTACAATTAATGTTTCAAAACAAGAACAATTTTTAATCAAGCTTTTGCCTGCAAGCTCAATGCATGAGAGTCAATACAACAAGCTGTGTTATTCTCTATTGTCGATCACTCATATTTTGCCACGCGTACTACAGATTTTGTGCCAGAAGTTAGTAGGAACACTGCTGCGCATAGCAGCAAGTAGAGAGCATTCGTGACCTCTACGTGGCATATTTTGTCTTATAGCAAACCTACACAAGTACGCTTGAATGTAAAATCTATTTTTAAGTCGTCTATTTTTTGGAGATCATTTTGTTTCAAATGAAGACCGGAGTTTACACAGTTTAATCCCTAGTTTTGTTTTTCGATTGTTTTTTCAACCAGAAATACAAAATTTCCATTATGAATTAACATTATTCAGTCATATTCCATACGATTTGATTATCTATCCGTTTATATATTTTTTTTGTTTAACAATCTAATAGAATTTACTGAAAGTATTCTTAAAATCCTCATGCCACACTACAAACGTTTATTGATATGAAAAATAAAAAATAATATACATATTTTTATATAATATGAGCATATAAACTAGTTTTTAGTGGTAAATTATATTATATCATATATTTCCTAATAGTTTGTTAGATTGGCAATGCCATACAACATTCTCATAAGATTTGACCGTTTTTTCAGTTCTGCACTGTGCACGCATGCATATCATCTTGTGTATGCAGCATGCATGCACGATCTATGCACTCCGGATACACGTGCAGTTCGTTCGTCTCGACGGACTTCCGCAATACCAAGTGCAACTTCAAGTTAAGGGACTCCATTATTTCACGACAATAAACTGAGGTATCGTATCTTTCCTTTTTATCATCAGTTGCTACATTATATGTTGCAGATTTTGGGCAGTAATTAGTGGGTTACTTTTGTTTTATCTGCATAAACGGCACGAGGCTAAGGGACAAATACAGTGGAGTCATCTATCTCCATCTGCATCGTGTATGATCATGATTAATTCGCACCGCGCGCTGGCGCTGCACTGGTACTTGGTAGTAATAGTGCAGTGGTAGACTACCGGTATTCATTTGTAAACACAGTCGTTGCATTGCTTTCTAATGGGTGTAGATCTTTTGCACATTTTATAATAGTAGACCTCTAGGTAGATTCTAAACCAAAATTTTCAATTAGGGAGGCCAATAATACCCAGGCGCAGTCTAAGTGATATGTAGGTATGTGACAAAAAAAAAATCAAATTCATTAATCTGGCCTAGACTCTATCTAAGTTTAACTTAGTACTAGACTCTATCTACCATTGGAAAGAGCTCAGCACAAGCATTGCAATGATATAAATATCTTTGTTCTAGATCTAGGTTAATTATTCAAAAAGTTATGAATATTTTAAGATTTAATTGACGAGCTAAATTTGGGATTGTTTTAACATAGGAAACGAAGGAAACGAAGAAAAAGGCGTGACCTTTTCGGGAAGTTCTGAACTAGAAGTGCCATACTTTTTTTTATTCCTTGTTGGATTTTAATGAAACTTTCTATAAGGAAAGCTAGACTAATTACTAAAAAAACTCTTTGAAACTGTTTTTACTTATTACAAAGGTACAACCGTTCATTAATTTTAAATGTAATTACTGATATTGATTAAGCGGATTGATAAACAGTACATTTTCAGTAACAAAAGAAAATTGTAAATTCACAAAACTTGAGCATTTTGTTTTGAAAAACATGTAGCATCTTATTCACTCACAATATTGTTATCTTTATGAGATTATTAAGTCTTCACAAACAGAATGCTTTAATTAATAATGATTTTGTTATTAATCTTATCACAACTTTGTATTATATTATTTATGTCATGTTATATTGTTTGAGTACCAAATAAAATATCATTTGAAAAACAAAAAAATATTCTTCACAAATGAAGTCCACTGCAAGAGTATACTTTGAAATGTCAAAGTCTTCTGCATCATCAATGTAGGTCTCATCCTCTTGCCAGTAACCAATACAGTAAGTACCCCCGTTTCTCTTCAAATCCTTTTATTTAATTCTTCTAGGGAAGACGCTAAAATTATCTTTCAAGTGGCAATACCACTTTCCATTTTTTAGTTGGCGGCATTGCAACTAGCTTTCACCAACCTAATAAAAAACAAATAAATCAGAGCTGGTGTACTGATGATGGGGGGGGGGGGGGGGGGAGTGCTTGGGGTTTAATAAAGTCCATTAAATATAAAACCCAAATAAAAAAACTAATTCTAAATATATGTTTATGTATGCCCCGAAGGCCACTTTAAAAAAAAAAGAACTTTTGTAACCTTATTAAAACCATGAGCTTGAAAGGATTTTTTTTTTTTTTTTTTTTTAATAATATTTTGCCGTGAATCAGATATTTCATAACCTTATAAACTAAAAGACTATTTCAAAAGAAAAATGAATCCATAAAAACGGCAAAATGAGCCATTCAAACCACAAAACATGAAGATTAAGCAAAATATGTCAACAATCACATGTAGCTTGCGTGTGTAAACATTGGCATCGATCAATCACGTGACATCAAATTTGATCACCTGACATCTGGATCGCGTACATATTTTTTATTAACATAAAAACACGTTAAAATCCTTTATCATCATTGTCTGTAATCCATAATTTTCACAAATCTTGTCAAATATCAATAGTAGACATTCTTAAATATCATTTTAGTATGTTTTTGGTGCCAAACGATAGTTTTAGAGGCAGTTATTTTATCTGCCAAAAATGTGACATAAATCGTTCGCCAGTGCGAATTCGGACATTTTGAAAAATGTTGCCGTTGACGCGAATTTTTGCTAACCGTAAAAAATATTGTGCGGATCGTCAGATTCACTTCAAATTCACCACAGATATAGACAAATATATAAATAATCATAACATGCAAGTTTAAAAACCTAACATACATCTCTTTTGGAAACGAATCGATGAATTTGACAGCCAAAAACTTTGAAAGTTTTTTTTTTCACTTCTCTGTATCGGATCGAAAAAATTCGAAGACGATGATAAAGAGGAACATGTGAACTACGTTATCAGCGCCTGTGCATTATGGATACTCCGAAAATACGATTTATACAGGCGAAATGATGACTCGCCCCACAGAGCGGTCGGTCAATGCGCGATTCGGCCCGAGGTGCATGGAGCTACGCACGGAACGGTCAGATTGTCATGTACCTATGTTATGCCTACAAACAATTTCTGCACTTGTTGTCTAGATCTAGACTAGGGTCTAGGGTCTAATTCTGAAAATTGCCAGATTTTAACAAAAAGAAAAAAGAAAAATAGATCTAGACTTCTAGAATCTATCTATTGAATGAAATGTTTGAAGTTTGAAGTTTGAAGTTTATTTATTCCACATTTTACATAGAAAAACAGTTTATATTCTTTTCTTTTTTATACAGGCGTATATTATTATAAGAATAGATTTCACACAAGAAAAAAATTATTAAACAAAATTAGAGAATTTAGATCAAATATAATGTACGGAAAATAAGTACGAAATTTCGAAATATGTATATAGTCTATAACAGGCTGGGTAGAACTATGTGAAATGTGGGGAGCCTCAATAAAAAGCATAGCTTGTATGTGAATAGGCTCCCGTACTGAATAACACAATATAGTAGGTTTGGATTTAAAAGGTATTATAGGCGAAAACGGAGTAGTAAAGTATGAGATTCAAGAGACGTACATGGGAGAGTGAATTTGAGAAGAAACAAGAAATATAAATAAAGAGTAAAGAAAATAATATAATAGTGATAAGTAGGAGAAGGTGAAGAAAGGAAGAAAGAGGAAGACGAAAAAAGAAGTGGAAGAAGAAGAGGCAGAAGAAGAATAAGAGAAAGCAAATTGATGAAATCCACGGCATTGTGAGATAACAAAAACAAAGTCTGTATAACCGCCTGTACGACCACCTGTACGATCCAGCGCGACATCAACATTACTTTTATACATACTTACTTAAAAGGAAGCACCTGAGCTTTCGTTTAAGTGAATTAATGGAGGGGCTTTCAACTATTTCGTTATTCAGGCTGTTCCAGAATTTGGGTCCAGTAAAAATAATTGTTTTGTTAGCAAAAACGGTGCGAGTTCGAGGGAGATGAAAATGGTTTGACTGTCTAGAAGGGTAAGAATGTATAGTATTATTGCGTTGGAAAAAGGGGACGAAAGAATCTGGTAAATTATCTTTCGCTAGTTCATACATAAATATTCCAATATTATACTTAAGTGCAAGTCAGATATTTCGAGAATATTACAATTATAGAAAAGCATATTTGTATGGGCAAGAATACAAACATTATTTATTATTCTAACAGCCCGTTTTGTACAACATTAACTTTGTCCATAAGGTTTATAGAGCTATTCCCCCATGCAAGTATACAATAATTAAGATAAGGCAAGATCAAGGTAGAATAGAGTAGAAGCATGACATGAGGAGGTACAAAATGTTTCAACTTATTCATTTGTTTTTAGATTCTATAACAAAAATACAATTATACACTCCACAACATACCTATAATCACAGATCTGTTACGGTCTTTCGCGGTTTCACCATTTGTTGACGATCTCGCAGATTTTGACGGATTTGAATCCATTAATCAATATAATTGTTGTAGTAGAAGGAATATGACATGCACACGGGACCAACAACAACAAAACCGCGGGCTTGGTCACTAAAAAAGTGGAAATGTGTTACCAGAGGCGGAGCGATACTGATATAGTGATAGCACTTTGTCTTTGCTTACCTTCCACATGTTCCTGATGATAACATGTGATCTACATTACAAAAATGTGACCTCTGATGAGAGTTATTTGCCTTGTTGGTTGATTCTGCAGCAAACGCAATTACATGCAGTTTTCATGAAATTACCTGACTTACAATAATAGTGATTAGGTCATTTAGCGAAATCCCTGGGAAAAAGAAAAATGAAGGAATTCCAAAAGTAGAGTGACTATTTTGTCAGAAAGTGTGCTAGATTATGAAACTGGGTAAGATTGCGAATGAAGGATCTGTAGGATATGTAAACGTGCAGA